CGCTTGTGTAGGGAAAGCCCCCGGCGGGCAGGTTTGTTTAACTGCCGCGTCCGCAGGTCTGGCCGATCGCGGCTCCCACTGGCCGCGGTTCGCTGCTCCAGGCCAACGGGAGCTGTGGGAAGCGGCGCAGGTCGAGGGACGTACTGGCCGCCGCTTCCAGCAGCTCCCATTGGCCTGGAGCAGCGAACCGCAGCCAGTGGGAGCCACGATCGGCCAGACCTGCGGACGCGGCAGATAAACAAACCGGCCCGGCCCGCCGGGGGCTTTCCCTACACAAGCGGCGTCCCAAGTTCGGGAAAAACTGCCCTCCACCATCCAATTTCGAAAATTCATTATGTACTTCAGTGCTGCATGTTTAGATGGTGGCAGCCAACACCTACTTTATTGACTGGCTCATTTTTTAATCCTATCATGAAGCAAGTTGGACTCTCCTATTGGTGAGGAAGATGTTGCCACATCTTTTGAGAAAATAAAGGAAGATTTCATTACAAGAGCAGCAACTTAAAAAACTTAACTCAAAGGTCTGGAGCTACGTTGGCTCCTAGTGCTGTATTAAGAGAGCACCTTGAATGGAAAATCCTCCATGGCTTTGGAAAAGGCTGGTTTACAACTTCTACTATTGGATTTATTTAATAGACAAGCCTGAGCCTCTAGAACGGCATCTAGGAATAATAATAATAAATAACCCTGTCATCTTAAAAAAAATGTGTCGTCTGTTCAAAGTGCAGGATCAGAGAGTGCCATTACAAACAGAGAATTAGCTGTACATCATCCAGAGTTTGTCTCATTGCAGAAGGGTTTTGCTTTCATAGCTGTTTATATTTTTTTTTTTTTAAGATTCTTATTTACCAGCTGGGGCAATAAAATAGTATTTTGTAATGCTGACTCTTTTCCCCAGAAACTCTTGTATCACAAACAGATATTAAATACTTTAAAGCAGATCACTTGATTTAAATAGAACATGCATTAATAAGCCCTTTTAATGCTTATTTTATGGTTTGACAGTAAGCGTAATGGCTTACAGTGACAAGTTAAATTAATAACCCCTGACCAGTAATGTCCTATTTGCTCAAATAAAAGCCTCAATGCCAAAATTAACATTCTGGTTTCTGTTAGAGGCAGCTCACCATTCTGCAGTATAACTGAACCAGCAGAGTCTAGATACTATGGACAAATCCTATCCCCTGACCAATATCCAGAGCGCCCAACAGGCCACAGAAGTGGTGCTGAAGTGAGCTCCGGGGACCTTGAGCACTCCAGCCAGTGAGGTGTGATCCATATGGACTTCTTCCACCCTATTTATATAGGAAAATATCTGGCTCCCATTTTCCACAGAAACATGCCACAAACCCCTGTGAGGTGTGGCAGTGCTATTTTACAGATGGGGAACTGAGGCACACTGAGTCACTAAGTGACTTTCCTAAGGTCACACAGTCTGTGGTAGACCCTCGAATTCAACCCAGGTCCCCTGAGTGACAGTCCAGTGCCTTAATCACATAGATTCAAAGATTCTAGGACTGGAAGGGACCTCGAGAGGTCATCGAGTCCAGTCCCCTGCCCTCATGGCAGGACCAAATACTGTCTAGACTCTAGACCATCCCTGATAGACATTTATCTAACCTACTCTTAAATATCTCCAGAGATGAAGATTCCACAACCTCCCTAGGCAATTTATTCCAGTGTTTAACCACCCTGACAGTTAGGAATTTTTTCCTAATGTCCCACCTAAACCTCCCTTGCTGCAGTTTAAGCCCATTGCTTCTTGTTCTATCCTTAGAGGCTAAGATGAACAAGTTTTCTCCCTCCTCCTTATGACACCCTTTTAGATACCTGAAAACTGCTATCATATCCCCTCTCAGTCTTCTCTTTCCCAAACTAAACAAACCCAATTCTTTCATCTCTCCCCTCCTGAGATGACATTCTGGCCCCAATGACGCTCATGGCAAACTCCCATTGACTACAGGGGAACCAGGATTTCACCCCTGTATTTTTAATGAATGAGATTCAAGCAAGCTGATCCACCAGTCAACACCCTATGAGCTGATGTCACAAAGAGGCTCTCTGTTACTCCTCCCCTCGGGCAGAGGAAAAACCTCATGTAAGTCATCTATGTACAACTCATTTATTTGGGATGTGTTGAGAAATCTGGATTTGGCCCTGAATCCCATCAACGAGAGCTGGAGGACAAAGAGAACATGATGATGCACAACCAGAATAATCACACCCAACCAATGTAAACGTATAGGTTTGCCTCAGACAAAAAGCAGCTTGGAAAACAGATCTGTTCAGAGAAACATTTTCTACCCACCCCTTGCAAAGCTTGTGGGCGGAATTCAGGATAGGGGCGGTGTGGCATTGCGAAGAATAACCTTTCTGTGCTCCAAACTGAACACATCCTGAAATGCAACAATGCCATTTCATAATGAAGGGATGGTAAAGAACTGATCTGTTGAAAGAGCGCGTTTTCTATGAACCAAGCCAAATAAATACAGACACACAATGAAGCCTTGTTCAGTGAATACTCTCACAACATGCTAGAAGTGAAATAATAATAAAAAAAAGAGTCAGCTTGTTAAAGGAATAGATCATTTAAATTCCCTGTGGGCTCAACCAGCCAAAGATTTCATAACACAATGGGACCTCATTGAATCAGCACCTGTTAAAGGAACAACAGACCTGTTTAGAAAAAGGCCATTGCTGTGCAGTGAGGTTATGCATTGAGATGTGTCTCATTCAGCTCTTCATTTGTTGGGTTAGGTCTTGTGGATTACTGTCAAGATTTTGTTTTCATTTTTTCCTGCCAGTTTGGTGCTCAAGAAAGGGGACAGATTGACAGCCCAAGAGGATGAAGTCTTGCTTTCTAGCTACAGAGCTGAAACAGCACAAGCATGAGGAGTGCAAGCTCCCATCACCCACTACTTCCTTGCTCACATGTCTCAGTCCTGATCTGGAAGGACCCCGGCCATCTGAGAGTGGACAGTTCAGTGTCCACAGCCATTGCAGCCACTGACTCTTGGGAGCAAATTAGCACCAGCCGTGAGGGGTTTTGCAAATACCTATTGGCGGAGACTGAATTCTTAAGCCACCAGAACAGCTAGCAACTCTGAGTCACCAAACAGCCATACTTGATATGAATTAGCAACTTAGAGGTGAAAGTGTCTCTCCCCGATTCCTACTTCCCTGGCAGGATTAGTAGCTCGTTCTTGAAGTACAATTCCATCAGCTACGATGTGTTACCACATCTATCTAGCATAGTGTGAACAATCCCATGGGGTTTGGCTGGATGCGGCCTCAAGCCTGCAGTACAGGTGCTTGCAATTTGCAGCAAGGTCGCCAAACCTTTTGGTGGTAGGAGGCGGCAGATATTGTCATTTAAAAAAAAAAATCAATTGTACGAGATAAAACATCTCTCTCTAAAAGTCCAGATCCTTTACTGGGGTAGCTCCATTGCCTTCAACTGCATTATTCCAGTATCAGAGGGGTAGCCGTGTTAGCCTGTATCCACAAAAACAACGAGAAGTCTTATGCCCAAATAAGTCTGTTAGTCTTTAAGGTGCCACTGGACTCCTTGTTGTTTTGTACTATTCCAGTTTACCACTCCACTTTTCAAAAATAGATGCTCCATGGAAATCTTTAGGAACCCAGGAAGTGCCATGGCAGATCAGATCAGACGTCTATCTATGGCCAGTAATGGAATAATCTGTCCCAAGTGGAAAATTCCATTTCCCGTTGGGTTATTTTTGTGCTTTTTCTTTATATAGGAGTCCAAGACCCAAATTTCCAATTTGGATCCCAACTTCTCCATCATTAGGATCCTGGAATTTGATTTGGACCATTACAGAAACAGAGGAGATCTACAACATTTAGTTCCAGAACCAAACTCCCCAAAAGTCTGGATCTGGGATTTCGGTTCAGGCTCCATCTCAAGTCCTCTTATCCCTCCTACTAAACAGGCATCGGCATAGAAACAGCTTCTTAAAAGCTCCTCTACTCCTTGTTTCAACAACTAACGTCAGAAGCTTCCTTGTTAGACAACAAGGCAACAAGCTGCCGTGAAAAGAGACTAATACTTCAGCTGGAGAAGTCGCCAGTAGCAAGACAACTCTGATGAAAATATCTTTGTCAATGGTTTTAAGGAAAAATACCCTTAGTTATAAAGGATGAAGGAAGAGAAATGCACAATACACAATAAGCACAATGTTCTCACAAAAGAAAAGGGTGCAGAGTTTTCCAAGCTCTTAAGGGAAAACATTTTCAGTGTGCACGTCAAATGAGATCACTGAGCGGTGCCCAAGTGAGAGCATTCCAATACTTTTATCTCAAGTAGAAAGTTATGTCACATCCCTGCCCAGCTGTACTTTGTGGGTGTTATATACATTTACACACACAATTATGAGCAACTCAGCTTGACTTAAGAGGGTTTTTGCAAGTGACTCAGATGTGAAATTCACAGAGGAAAACAGAACGGGGTCCCAAAGCTGAAAGCACAAACAAGACAACTTGTAATCACCACAGACCCACCCAGGAACCAGTGAATTATCCCAGTTACTGTTTAGAAAATAAAAGCGCTTAGGGAAGCAATATTCTGAACACCTTACAAATCTGTGCGGGAACACAGCTTCTGCATGTCCAGCTGTTGAGAAGACAGTTATCAGATACCATGAATGGACACCCCAGACTTGGAGTAGAGAATGAAGTTTCCCTGGAAGAGATCAGTTCAACCTGAACTAGGATCTCAAACCAGTTTGATTTCCTTAGGGCCAAGGAGGTTCAGATCTGAATCTTCAGATTCACAATCACCCCTACAGCTCAGGTCAGACCTAAACACAGAAAAGGGGATGTTTTTTCCCAGATCTAGCTCAGATACTCTCAAAAGATCACCAGTGTCAAGTTCAAACTGGAGATCTGGTTCAGCCATCAGCCTCAAAATGAACCCCACCCTCAGCACATTGTAGATCAGAACACTTGACTCATTCCCCAAGAACAAAGTGAATACGTACCATGTTCATAACGGTGAGGATGAACCTTTGGGCTGCCTCAGCACCATGGTATTGCACCATATCAGCATCAGCCACTACCAGGGTTTCTACTGTATACTCATTGGTGAGTCGGATGGCATTTCTTCGCTCTCTCCAGTCATTCACTGGTTTCATCTTCTTTTGTCTCTTCTTTTCTAGAAAATAAAGTATATATTAAAGGCTCCTCTAGCTCTAGCAGGTAGCTCACAGTAACATATACCATACTGTAGCTGAAACTTCCCTCCAAATTCAGCCTGGATTGGCCTTTAATTAAATTAAGTTTCCATGTGATCTGTCCATCAGTGGAACCAATCAGGAGTTTCCATTATAGATACATGCATAACTGTGTGCGCGCATTTGTATCAGACCATGAAAATCTATGAAAAGAGAGAAGGGGAAAAAAGATGGATGAACTGTAGAAGAGTGAATTAAAAAAAAAAAAAAAGGCAGAAAGTAGAGAATAAGTTGCAGTTGAACCAGAAAAGGAATCACACTGTTGCAAGAACAGCAGAAACTGAAAATCCTGCTCCTAAACAAAAGCATCTGCACATTTTAATGGAACAAAATGATAGTCACGGAAAGTCTGCTGAAGAAAGGTCACACAGGCCAGATTCAGGATGGGGCAGCATTAGACAACTATGGAATGAGTGCTGAATGACAATTTGGGAAATTTTCTCTATCTTCTACCCTCTGAAGGTTTTGTTTTAGCCAAAGAAGTTGTAAGAAACTCCTGTGGCTGCTATTACGATTGGTGCACTTTAAAAATGCACATGACATTAAATGTTATTTAGCCATTGGAGCAGATTACCAAAAGATGTGGTAGATTCTCCATCACTTGGAGTCATTTTTTCCTTTAGAAAAAAACTGAGTTGCTGGGCTAGAAATCACTGGGTGAAATCTATGGCCTAAAATATGCATGAGGTTAGACTAGATGAACATAACGGTCCCTTTTGGCCTAAAATTCTACGGACCTAAGAAAACCAGACCCATTTTGAGGGAGTCCCGAGATGAAGCAATTGTCAGCTACTATACAAAGAAAAATAAATACTAGATAGTGTGAACTTATTCACTTCAGTGAGGAAATTAAAGCAAAGGCCAAGTGACAAATACATTAATAAAACTGCCCCCTTCAAAGATGAGAAATGTTATACATTTCACAGCTCAGGGAGAGATGTGTAAAGCATCTGACGAATGAATAAGGGACAAGCTGGACACAGATGTGACGTTAAAGCTATACTCCTCATTACAGTCAAAGTGTATTCAAATTTTCAGTTGTAAAATGAAAGAAAAGCAAATGAGTACCGAGAACCAATTTATTCTGCAATACGTAAGATACCAAATCCCAGTATCCACTGAAATATTGTAGTAAAGGTTCTGCAAACCTTGCTCATGTGAGTACTTCCACTACAATCATGGCACTACTTGTGGAATATGGGCACAATCCACGGAGTAAAGTTCCCCATCAGGGTGGCAGAATCTGCCCCACGTTCCCATACAAAGCATTGATACAGTACATGTCTTATCTGACAATAAAGTGGACATAATTTTATTTCACACTGCAAATAAATCAAAGAGCAAGGGCATTCTAGAAACACACTGCCTTGCTTTCCAAAGCAGAGAGTTTTACTGTTTAGTTGTTGAGAGAAATCGATTTCTTCTGAGCACCTTCTATTGTGGGACTTGCCCGGGAAAGCAACATTCTACAATGTGAAGATTCCGGTTTACAATGTTGATTCTATGATGCTGGTTTTCCAGAGTCTGTTTACAGCTCTCTTAAACTCAGCTTGAATTGCCCTACATTACCAGTCTGGTAAATAAGCTAGCATCCCGATAGTCCATTTCCCCTGAATGAATCTGTTTTATTCAGGCGGCCAGACGCCAATGGTTGTTAAGCTTCCTCATGCCCACCTGAAACTGACACCAGCACTTCTGTTCATTCATACATTCATTCCATCTCATCAATGCACACATTCACACATGTTCATCCCAGCCTCGCTCACAGTTGTCTGGCAGTCATTCCAGCACTGCTCTGCGCAGGCTTTTGTCCCTGAGGCATCAACTGTCAGCACTTGGTGCATTTTTTTAAACTGAGAAAACAGCCATGACGTTCGATTTTTTTTTAAATGCACTTTGGAAATACCCTGTTGCAGATAACAAGATAGATAGGACTCTCTGTGTAAGCCAGAAGGGTTAATTACGTCTCAAGGTGCCCACAAATAATGAGGATCTGCACGCTGCCGGCTAGGAGGAAAACAAGCCCTTCCAGAGGTTTGTAGTACCACAGACTGCACGACAGTTACAGAAAACCATGCAATCATTACAAAGCTGCCCGCAGAGGAGCAGAGCTGTACATTCTTGAGTGCCTGGGAAACGAAATAAAAATGGACTGACTGTGAATATTAGAAAGTAGAAGAGTTGAGCACCCCTTCAACTTGCCAGCACTGAAAGGGAGATGACTTCACTCAACTTCAGTGAATAAGCTTCTGTGTTCCCTCTGTCCGTCCACAGAGTCACTCGTCCTGAGCTGCAGCACCTTAATGGTTAGCATATAAATATGTACGCTGGGCTGCAGGAGATTCATTCCGTTAAAAACATTTCCAAGCGATAGTTGGCATTTCTGAACCACCTCCTGGTGAGTGGCATCTTACTGGACAGCATTTCCCCAATAGAATCGAAGTCCTTGTAATTCCCTAATGAACTCAAGGGACAGATCTTAAGCTGGTGTGACACAGCCTAGCTCCACTGTGCTAGGCTGACTGACACCAGTTAAAAATCTGGCCCTAAGCCTTTAACACTCAAAGGAGCATACCTTAGATCATTTTTAACTTCCCCCCTCTCAAATTAAACACACTCATTTTGAAATGTGCTATAAATATAAATCACACAGCAGCGTGGGCCAGTGTCAAATGCAAGAACGGTTTTACACGGTTGCCATAAAATACAGCAGAAGCCAATACAGACTACAGGAAGGATATGCAGTGCATTGGATTAGATTAATGCATTTTAACGCCAAAAGGAATCATTATGATCACCTAGTTTTGGTAGCCTGCATAGCACAGGGCCAGAGATCCTCACCCAGTAATTTCTGCATCAAGCATTAGGTGGACAGACGGTTTTTGCAATAAAATTGCATTTAAAAGAACACTTGGACATTCCTGCATGCAGATGCAATGAGCCAGTTATAAGCAACTTTGTGTTTCAGGGAATCATGTAAGGTAAGACAGATCTTTCTCGAAGTCTATGGAATTAAAAAGCTTCCCAAACACACAGCTGAGAACTGAGGGGCTCACGTTTCACACAGTGCAAGACAGGGCATAGGACATAAAGAACGAAATCCAGATCATCTATATACACCTGGAATCTACCTGTCTGGACAGCAGACGCCTTTCAGCACAAATACAGTATGTGCAGGGGGAATGCCTGACATTTAAAAAGGCACCACAGCTAATTGCAAAGGATTTGGGTAATGTCCACTAGCTTTTTTCTGCTCTGCCTTTGGAAAGAGTCAAACCTTTCTCTTGCCATTTTAGATTCTCTCTACATCAGCATTTCTCCCTGAATTAGCAAGCCAGTAGTAAAAGTTCTTTGCTTCATAAAGTAAGCTAAGATCTAATCTCCTCCTACTGCTCCCCCAAAGCAAGTACACTTTTATACCGTGTTTCCCCGAAAATAAGACAGTGTCTTATATTAATTTTTGCTCCCAAAGATGCGCTAGGTCTTATTTTCAGGGGAGGTCTTATTTTTCCTGGAGCTTCGGGGCCTTATTTTCGGGGGAGGTCTTATTTTCGGGGGAGGTCTTATTTTCGGGGAAACAGGGTATTACAGAGACAAGCCTCTTGGTGAAAGTACATCTCCAGGGTCACCTAGCTGGAACAGAAGGGCATAATTCCTTGCACCAGCCTTGACACTATGCTGAAGTGGGGATTTAGAAGAGGGTCTCTCTGTTACCTTTCCTCAAGGTTTCTACTGTGGAGAAGCAGTTTCAAGTTGCACCAGTGGAGGCTGCTGAAGAGATGCTGAAACAGCACATGTGCTGGTCATGCCCCTTTCCAGCCAGTACCACCCACTTTTCCTGACCCACTGGTCTCCTATGCTCTTTTCCCCACACACGTCTTGCAGATCTGAGCCAGGAATGACAAAATATTGTATAGCAGCCAGGTAGGGAAAATGCAGAGCTGGCAGCCCTGTTGGGTCCCAAAGATTTTCAGACTACCCGCTACAGCTGGAGGGGAAAAATCATACAGCTTGGTTATGCAGGGCGATCCTCTGCATCCCCAGACAAGCGGAACAGCTCTTTCATGCAGGGAGCTGGCACTCATCCCAGCTGGCATTCTGAGGCCCTTCGCATCCAATGCCCACTTGTTCCTTGCTGGTGACACAACTATGATGCGGCTTTTGTGGAATTTTTAAATATTCCTTTAAGAACTTTGCCCCACACTTTGCTATTACTAAAGCCCTTCCTTTTTTAGGTGGTCATTCTTGCCTCGTAACCCAAAGTGACTGCTATTAATAGGGGCGGCACTGGACTTGAGTCAAGAAGTCTGAGCGTGGCAATGACTGAACTGTGAAAAATGCCTAAGCAAAAGAACAATAAAGTCAGAGCACTCACGGTTCTCACTGTTCACTCCGCTTTCTCACTCTTGGTGGAAAAGAAGCCACTCATGGGTCAAGGGAAAAGTATGCCCACTGCATTAGAGCACAACCTGAGCTCTCGGGGGCGAGGCTGGTGTCCGGGGGGCATGCTACAATCACCTGCTCTGCTGCTCATCTCTCCTTCGGCGGTAGGTTTAGAAACTGGCTAAGGTTTGTAGATCCCCTTGCTGCATTCTTGTACAAGGTTGTGAAACTGCAGCTGTGCAAAAATTTGACCAATGTGTTTCTGGGGGTGGGCAGTCGTGCAAAACTTTGGGAAGTCTCAATTTGCACAGAATCAACACCCTTCTCCCGGAAGTTCACTTGGGTTGGCCAACTTTAACAAGGTTTCCATCCATAACCTCAAACTCCTCATCACCTCTCCCTCCGCTCACCTTAAAACTCGGCTGACCTCACATAAGTTTGGGAATTTGGGCTCTTAAGCTCTTACGCTCGCCAAGAACTTCCAATGCTAAATATATGAGGGGAAACAGAGGAATCAGTGTCAATCCATGAAGAGCTT